CGTCGCAAAACTCCTTCGCTATTTTCGTTAACCTGGTTCACGCGCCTCCCACTGTACAGCATCCGATTTTCACAAATCGGTCGCCTGTCGAGTAGCGCCGACAACATTTCTTCCTTGATCCACCAGCACAGGGTGATCCGCTGGCTCACCACCCTTATTCGGCCAGAACCGTCAGAGTTGTCTGGTGGTGGTGGTGCTGAAAATCGGGCGACCCAGCCAAGTCAGTCGGGGGGGGATCCGTATGCCGCTGACTCTTAACCAGCTGTTCCCAGTCGTTCTTCTTCCACTGCTTCATTTCTTTGCCGTTGGCCCTTTGTGGTGACCCCGTGGAGACACTGAAGTAAATACCGGGGTTGGTCTTCGTCCTCCTCCGTTGACCGTGGAGTGTAATTTTCTTACCACGAAAACAATTTCCTTGCGGGGAAAACTGCTCTCGCCGAGCTTGTACAGTAGCTCCAGGGCAGTCGAAATTGCTCCTCCAGGCGGGCAAGTCACGTGAAAAATCCGAGGTTTGCCGCCCTCCGATTGCTCTGTGCCTGAGCCCCACTTGTTGCACGTGCGATCTCGGTCGTGCTGAAAAATTCTGGAAACTGCAACCGAAACTCCCTTTAACGATATGCGAAATGAACAGCATACCGGAAACACTCTTCAAAATCTTCGCCATTACAGGACGGACACAACCGCCCTCGAGGGGATGGCCGAGAAAATCTTGCTCGTCCCTTGGGGTCGGATCGACGGTCTTTAGAAGCCCACGCAAACGTAGTGTTGAAAGCATATCATATCATGCTTCAGGACAACCGCCGTGCCTTCTGTAGCGCCATCCCACCTTCTCCCCCCCCAAAAAAAATCTGCCCTCGGAAGCCCAGCGGGTGAGGAAAGTGGCTTTGAATACCAAGTGTTGTGAATGGAACTGCCGAGTAGCGCGGAGGGCAATGGCGAAACTGTGAACGAGTGAATGACAATAAAATGAAAGACAACCACAATATTATAGAAAACCTAGGGTGGTCCTGGACGTAGGATTGAAGGTTCGGGAAAAGTGTCGAAGGGCCTCGATGTGTCGAAGCGAGGTCCGGAAAGGCCCAGGAGGCTCGAACTGAAAGGTCTAGAACCCTATCGCTGGTTCGGGACTGTTCGACTCGTACGCCCTGTAGCAAGCCTCATTAAGGAATTACTTATTCCTTACATGATACGATATGTAACGCGCCCTAATAAAAACTGGCGTGTGCTGTGCATGGTGCTTTCGCTGCCTAGGGCGTAGTGGCGCTGGGCTGGGTTTGCACTCCGAAAAGTCCCAAAATGTATGGGGGAGAGTTCAAGTTTCTTTCCGCTCAAACGCCTGGTGTGGCGGGGGCAGGGGCATAATCAGCTGGGGGTGGCGCAAGATTATAAACTGTTTCCCGTCGTTTTGTTGCGCAACTTTCGTTTTTGTTATGAGTGGGATTGGAACAGCCACTCAATAATGGGAATAGGACCATCTCAAACTAATGTGTGTCTACAAGTGACGAACGAACTGGCTAAAATAGGGCACGGACGTGCTAGGACGAGCTAGGGCGAGGACCTCGGGCCGTGAATGGTTTGGTTGGGGTGTCGAGGGTGTCGGAACACGACTCGGGGAGGTTGGGCTGACAATAATGGCCGAACCTGCGAGTTCGAGGTCATCGGGTGTACGCGCTGTAGTTCAACGCAGTAAGGAATGTTAATTCCTTACACTCTCCCACCTTCTAGATAAAGCCTTCCGTATATCGAAGTTCGAATCATGAAAAGTAATCCCCGATGTGACTGTAGGTCTTCAGCACAATGACGAGCGTAATGATTACGACGTCCTGACTGTTACAGGATCGAATGTCTCGAGGAAAGATTGCACTATCGATCAGTACAAGGCGCTTTTATGCTTCCAGAGTACATCAGGTAACCAGGTTTATCTTATCCTAAGGGAATAGACCCTTCTAGAAGATAGAATCACCCTGCGTATAGCCACGCAAGGCTATTGGCTTTAAGGGATTACGGCAGGATTACGCTAGATATAGCGCACCAGTACATCCCAAGCCTGGTCGGTGATATAATTATAATAGTAGGATAAACCAAAGGTGAATGGAAAAGGGAGAATAGGAAACCAAATGAGATGAGATAAAACAGAAATGAAAATAGGAAGGAAGTAGAAAAAAGGCCAAGTGGTGTAACGGGGTCGTACTCTCACACTGACAATGTCTTCAGGTCGAAATGTGATCGATGGCCAAAAAAACGTCGAAACGATCGTTTGTAATCTTGGTCGTCGAAGATTGTCGAATTCTTGAGCTGACCGAATGGGTACTGGCGAAAACTCCTTTGAAATTGTAAACGGTCAATCTGGCTTTTGGTGATGGCGCGTGGCTGATGAAATGATGACATGAGGGATGACGTGGCCGAGGTTTGTCGAACTGGAAGGGACCGTTCATCAAGTCGCGAGGTCGTTCCTGACACATACAAGCACACGCGCGTGTTCGTGGCTGTGGAAGTCAGCGAACTCCATCAACGAAGAGACGAACTTCGACGAGGAAGCGTAACTGAAACGCATGTCGGGCGGAGATGGATAATAGAACACGCCGGAGGGGTCATCAAAATTTTGCAGCACAGCTGCACTTCTCCCCCCCTCCAAGAAGAAACAGCTCCCAACGGGCCAAATAAAACTCCAGGGTAGTCAAAGGAAACCCACACTGCGGCTTAAAAAATCCAGCAACTCTGCTGCGAGGATGCTTGAAAAACTCCAACCGGTAGAACGTCCAAACTGCTCCAAAGGAAATTCTGTTGCAGGGCAACCGCTTCTGAGGTCCGGAAAATCAGCGACAACTACTCCAGAAGACTCCAACGAGCTGAAAATTTTCCGCACACAGTCAAAACACTGTTGGCAAGCTGGCCCCAACACATCTTTAACAGTCCTGCTTCCAAATCTTCTTGATTGGATACTGCTTCGGCGGATGGCGAATGGCGCGGGCGGTCTTGTTTACATAGGCGAGCGAAAAGAAGCGAATTGAGGATGGAGGTGGTAGCGGGTGTTGGCGAGAGGTTGACGACGATGGCGAAGGAAGGTAACCTGTATTAGAACACTCCAGTGAATACCTCAAGCCGACCCGAAGGTCAAATGACGCTAGCTGCATCAGCTTTTGTTGTCCGTACACACCAAAATTTTCGGCAAGGGCCAAAACAGCCGCCACTCTCGTTTCCCTCTATGAAAGCAAAGCAGTCCGAGAATGTCGGGCGATGTCGTTCGTACCCCGGAAGATATCGAGTACCACATCAGCGGTCAACACAGAGCCGCTCCACGCGGTTTTATCAGAAACCCAGGGACCGCTGCCCTGAAACCAGCTTCAACACTGCTTCGAAAAACCCGTAAACGTCGGAGACACGATGCCCAGCTGTGAACATGAAGTGCGACCCAGTTCGTCGGGTAGACTGCACGACATGCCCTTGAACTTAGCTTCTCCCACAACTCCGCTTCATCGCTACGCAGGTACTCCCAAACTGCTGGTGCTTAATAGCTGCGCCGCTGGTTCTCGAAGAATTCCCCGTCTGGCACCGGGCGTTGAGCAGCGCGCCGACTTTCACCCGTCATTGCGCCCGCCATATCACCAAAACAGGTCCTAGGCTTTCGTGCCTTGGCAAGTAGCCCCATTAACCAGGGATGACTCCCGAAAGCCCAGCCGCACTCCAAAAACTTCGGAAACAGTATAGAAATCCAGCTGGAACAGTGTTGTCGCAGCTGCCCCGACAATCTCGGCAGGTCGTCGTTCACCCAACTCCCCGCTTTTGTCAGTCATACCAGAAACGCACGTGCGCCGAGCGCACAAACTCCTTTTTTCATACTGTCGATCCCACGGTACTCCCGTATTTTAATCGGCACAGGTTAACCGCAGCTCTGTCCACGTTATTCGTCCAGGACCGCCAGAGTAGTATTAAACCCGAACTTGGAACCTGGTGTGGAAGATGTGAGCCGTTGGAAAGTCTCGGCCGGTAGGTGGCCATTCTGCTACCGCCGCTTAGCCCAACACGGGGGCACTCAGCTTGAGATTTCCGCTACGCTGCCCTGCTCTTCATGAAGTGTCGAAGTTCCCCTCTCGTCCAACCCGGTCTGTCGCATCTCCGTACGTTTTACTGGTAGAAACCCCCGAAAATCGCGGGCACTAAACGATGCACCAGAGACGTTGTTTCCTGGGGCGCTGGCCTGTCTCCAAGGCTGTTTCCCTAGAAAAACGCAGGCGCCACTGTCGTTTTCTGGGAAATCGGCTTGGCGTGAAGATCGTCCACGACATCCGCAATTGTCGGTGCCGATTTTATCGGGTGCCAGGAACAGCTGCTGCCGATACTACAGAAACAGTTGGCACGAAGGTGGCCGACTCCAAACTTTTCGGAAGTTAACGGCACACGCCGTCCCACGCTGCGTCGCTCCTGCCAGAAATTATGATGACGCGCCCACCTGGCAGCAATCCGCTCCAGTCCGGACGGGACAACACACCACTCCCGCATAATTCGGGTAGCTGGCACATGTCGTCTCTCCTCGTCAGGATAATTCCTGACGCACATTCCTCGTGCGCCTGGCGAGGTCCACAGCTGTCGTTTTCCCACGAGGCGAGCCTCGCAATTTTCGCGAGCCGCTGACGAAGTCCGCGCGAGACGTCTTGAAAAATCCTTCGCCGTGTAACGACGACGCCAGTTGCCGCTCCAAACAAATGAAATGAACGCCACTAAAATTACGTGGCCAAAACTCGCGACAGACACAGCTGTCCGTTCCCGTGGGGAGGGCGGGGCACGATCAATCCAGACCGTCCAAAGGAAGGGATCGAGTGGCGTAGAGGCGCACACGCTATCGTAGTTGTATGAGCTAATCATATCTAGCTCCTGGACAACCGCTGTACAGCCTCAGGCCCTCCAGCCATCCCTCCTTTCATATCTAGCTCCTGGACAACCGCTGTACAGCCTCAGGCCCTCCAGCCATCCCTCCTTTCCCCTACCCGAAAAAAATATCGGGCAGGCGGAAGCGACTAGCCTAAGAAAGTGCTCTGAATACCAGATGTTATGAGTGGGAATGGAACAGCCACTCAATAATGGGAATAGAACCTCGGAAACTAATGTGTGTCTACAAGTGACGAGCGAACTGGCTAAAATAGGGCACGGACGTGCTAGGACGAGCTAGGGCGAGGACCTCGGGCCGTGAATGGTTTGGTTGGGTGTCGAGGGTGTCGGAAAGCGACTCCGGGAGGTTTGGGCCGACAATAATGGCCGAACCTGCGAGTTAGAGGTCTTCGGGTGTACGCGCTGTAGTTCAGCGCAGTAAGGAATGTTAATTCCTTACATTCTCTCTCTCTCTCTCTCTCTCTCTCTCTCTCTCTCTCTCTCTCTCTCTCTCTCTCTCTCTCTTTCTCTCTCTCTCTCTCTCTCTCTCTCTCTCTCTCTCTCTCTCTCTCTCTCTCTCTCTCTCTCTCTCTCTCTCTCTCTCGGGAACTGGGTTACCAATTGGGGGGTTTTGTTATGAATGAACAAGCAGACTAGCGCGGAAATGAATAACAAAATGTTCACTCACTGAATGACGATACAAGGAATGGCAAGCCAAGATATAGGAACACCAGAGCTAGTTTAACCATGCGATGGTAAGGTTCGGGAAAGAGATCGAAGGGTCTCTAAGTGACGAAGCGAGGCCCGGAGAACTCCCGAAGGTCGAACTAGCAGGTCTGGAGAGGCCGAGGCGGTTCTGTCAGAAAAGGTCCGGAATAGTCCCGAGGTTTTGGGTGTGTTCGAGCATACGCGGTAGCAGTACCGCTCGGTAAGGAATGGAAAATTCCTTACAGGTTTCAAGATTAATAAACTTGAAAGGCAATTTCTGCAATCTGCAAAAAACCATGAGAATCTATTTGTTTTGCCACGATCCTCCGAAACGAACGCAATGTAGTGCGTCCTAACACATCAAGCATGAAGTATTTAGAATCTGGAATGGGCTTAGACTCCAAGCCGCATCAGCATCATAGCAGACGACTTCGTCACCGAACCTTTCAACCCAAATCCAGTCCAGACCACCGATTTTTTTTTTATTTTTATTTTTTATTTTTCCAGTACGACGCGTCCGCTCTGAAATGACCAGCGACTTGCCAACTATTCACCTCCTCACAGACGATCTCCTCCTCCGCATTTTCCGCGCCCTCGCGTCGCATGGCGACTATTTCAGCCATGGCCTCGTGTGCCGGCGATGGTACTGCCTCGCTCGCTCCGCTCAGAGCCGTGTACGCGTTAAAAGCAACAGCGGTATTCCGTCTCGTCTCATCCTCCACGCGCTTTCGCGATTCCCGTCGCTCTCCGAGTTAGACCTGCTGGCTGGAAGCGTCTATCCTGCCGACGACCGTCTGATTCACAGCCTTGCCACGTCAGCGCTGAGTCAGCGTCTGTGTCGCCTGCATTTGGTCTTCGAAGGGCGGAGCTGTACCAATCCAGAATCGCCTCACTCGGCGACTCCTGCATCAGCTCGCAGCACCGAAGCCGCGTTTCACCGCCTTTTCTCCAGCTGTACGCGATTGACGCATCTCACTTTAAAGTCTAAAAGCTCCTCCGTGACGCTCCCCCCATCCATCGCAACGCTGACGAGCCTTACGCACCTCCACCTCGATTTCGACTTCTCCTCTCTCCCTTCCAGCCTCTTCGCCTCTCTCACGCTGCTCCAAAGCCTCGAGCTTCGCTCCCGCAATCTGCAGTCCCTACCAGACACTCTCGGGCAGCTGAAGAAACTCTGCGAGCTGACCGTGCAGTGCACCGCCTTGGAGGCTCTTCCGGAATCAATTGGAGATTATTTTTTTCTGTCCCGGTTAGAGCTGCTCGAGTGCTGTCGCCTGCAAGAACTGCCCGATCCCCTCTGCACCCTCCCAAACCTCTCCCACCTGAATATACAAAACTGTGATTCGCTCATCTGCCTGCCCGAGGATTTCGGGCAGCTGCAATCCCTCCGCTGCCTAAAGCTTTCCTGCTACTCCGCAGACTTCACCCTTCCAGAATCCTTCTTTTACCTCTCAAACCTCCAAACCCTCGAAATCTCCTTCTCCTGGTGCCACTGGCCCTCTGCTTGCCTCATCTCCTTCCGTTGCCTCGCGTCTCTTGCTCGCCTCTCCCTCCAAGGCATGTTCGTCCACTCCCTGCCTCCCGCCCTCCTCCAACCCCCCTCCCTCCGCATCCTCACCCTCTCCTCCCTCCACCTCCTCACCGCCTTCCCTCACTCCCCCGGGCAGCTTGAAAACCTTCGCGAGCTGACCATCAGCGACTGCGAGAAACTGGAAACCCTTCCCTCCTCATTCTTCTCCTCCTCCCCCAACCTCTCCTCCCTCACCCTTTCAGCCTTACCCCTATTGGCATCACTGCCAGAGTTTCTAGGCGCTCAGTCAAACCTGCACCAGATTCGCCTGCACCAGTTGCACCTGGATTATTGCTCCAGCCTCTCTGATCTGCCCGCATCCCTCTCCTCGCTCTCCTCTCTCCGCCATCTCTCCATCCGCCACTGCCCCTCCCTGTCTGCCCTCCCTCACGGGATTGCCCTCCTCCCCTCGCTCCAATCGCTCGTTTTAGTCTCACTCCCGGGCGTCACTTCGCTGGAGTCTGTGTTTCTTGGTCGCGGAGTACTCGTGCCAGCAGCGCCTGCTGGCAGGCCGTCAGGGGGAAGGGGGTGGGGAAGAGACTGTGAAGGCCAGCAGCAGCAGCAGCAGCAGCAGCAGCAGCAGGAGCAGGACCAGGAGCAGCAGGAGTGTCGTCATTCGTTGGCTCGTGGCATGACAGATGATAGTCTAAACGGAATCCAGCATTTTCCATCTCTGGAGTCTCTTAGGATCATCTCCTTACCATCAATTTCTTCCCTTCCCGAACCCTTCGGGCAGCTTCCAAAACTACGCAAACTCGTTCTGCAGGCCTGTGGCAACCTGTCCAAGCTCCCCCATTCATTTTTAGGTCTGGGCAGTCTCCACTACCTCCACATCAGCAACCTTGGAAACCTTTCCACCCTGCCTGAGGACATCGGGCAGCTGCCCACGCTTGAAACCCTTCTTCTGGAAGATCTCCCTGCACTCGCCCACCTGCCTGCCTCCCTCTCTCTCCCTCCCCTCACCTCCACCTTACAATCCCTCCACCTCCCCCTCCTTCTGACGCCCTCGCCGGCTGAAGCGGACACAGCAAGCTGCTTTGACGTGGTTAGAGGTGTGGTGCCAGGCCTTGAGAGTCTCGTGCTTCACGGCAGTTACAGATGCACGGTTACCAGTCCAACGGGCACGAGCAGCAGCACCAAGGTTACCGGCGTGGGAGGAACGAGCAGCCTGGTTTTGAGCGGTGCACACGACCCTTCAGACGACCCTTCAGACGACCCTTCAGGGGACCCTTCAGGGGACGCTTCAGACGGTGCTGCTGGCGGTGATGTTGGGGTGGACTGGCCCCTGCTGAGTGCTCAGCACGCACCAAGCATGGTTGCTGCCGTATCAAGTGGTGAGCAGGGGTGGGCACAGCAGGTGGAGCAGCTGGCGCTCCAAGTGGGGCAGCTCTCCCACCACGCACTCCGCGGCCTCGCCTCCTCCCTCCCTCGATCCATCTCCCATGCGGTGCCTGGTTATGTGGCTGACCACACTGGCAGGGAGCGCGCCCGTGCAGCAAACGACGATAATTCACCGTGGAATGTCATTGCAGCTGGCACCAGCAGCCACCGCAAAGCTGTCCTCGCTCCGTGCATTCCTGACGACCTGTTTCTCTCGCCACTCGCCCCAAGCCACCTCCGGCTCCTGCACTTGCACTCGTGCCACCACCTGCTGCATCTGCCCTCCTCCCTCCCCTCCATCCCCCACCTCTGCCTCCTCTCTCTCTCCAACTTGCCCTGCCTCGCCTCCCTCCCTCCCTCACTCCACCTCCTCTCCTCCCTCACTTGTCTCCAACTCACAGACTGCACCGCGCTCACCCACCTGCCCGCCTCTCTTTTTTGCCTGCCCGAATTGGAACGGCTCGCTCTGATTCGCTGCTACAGCCTTGTCGCCCTGCCCACCGTCCCCACCAGCACCGATTCCTGCCCTCATGCTAAAGCTACTGATGCTTTGTTAAGCGAGGGTAGTGGCAATGTCAACCCTTCAACCTCTGTCGTCTTCAAGCTACGTGTTTTGCACATGGAGGAGTGTTACATGCTGGCCGAGCTGCCATCAAGTGTAACAATGTTACAGGGGCTGGAGAGGGTAACGGTGGATGGGTGCTTCAGGATCCACCGGCTGCCAGAGGGGATGGTTCAGCTGCCTTACTTGAGGAGCCTGGCGTGGAACGGACGGGATGTGCTCCAGGGACGATAAGGTGGCAGATGGTCCTAGGCGCTGGAATGGAACGGAACGGGAAGGCTGCCTGCAGGAGTGGTTCAGCTGCCATATTTGATGAGTTTGGTGTGGAACAGAAGGGATTTGCTGCAGGAGGATACGGCGGCAGATGGTTCTAAGTGTATGAGAACGGCCCAGCAGTACGAACCATGGCAAGAGTGTCACTGGAATCCAGCATTTGAATGCACGAATTTCTGCCCCACGTGGAGCGACACATCGGGCTCTATCGTGCCACTTCACGCATTGGAAAACTAGCTGTGAGAATTCACGCGCTTTTTCTGCTCTGTGGCAAAATGTTCGGGTTTCGTTGTTGCAGCGAGTGATCGATAGCGGATACGCTGACAAACCCCCGTCGGGCCGCTGACACACAGAAACCAGCGCAGGAAAACAGTAAAAGGTGCCATGTCCAGATGCGAGCTTCGTTCTACGCAAGAGTGTACTTTTAGCGGCAGTGACCATGGTTATCGTCTTAGGCTAACACGTTCTCGATAAGAGGTTCTCGATGAGAGTGACCATGCACTGCATGCTCTAGGGGAGTGATGTTAGCGCAAGCCCAAGCTGACTGCTTTCTCCTGTGTTTCCCCTAGTAAGACCACGTTCACTACGAAAAGATCCGTTAGAAGCCATCATGGAGGCGTTGTCTTATATCGCGTACACGCTCGCCGTGGCGGTGGTCTTGGCGTTCGGCCTGAGCGCGTGCGCGTACGCGGCGTATCGCGAGATGCTGCAGGGAGGTCCCGACTCGCCCGATTTCTTCCTCACTGCGCGCCGATCCGTCAAGACCTTCATGGTCGCATGGTGCGTCGCAAGGGTGCGTCAAGGCCGCTGTGATCGCACGGTTTGTCGCACTATCTAGCACGGACTTAGTAGTGGTCCCTTCCACCCGCTCATCCCGCTCAGGTCTGCCGCTTGGTGGCGAAGCCGTCCTCGCCTCCCCAGCCGTCGTCGGCTCCTGGGCTCCAATCGCCTCTGCATTCCCAGCCACACGCCATCGCAGTGACCTCTCTGCCCCTCTTCTCCCCTCTTTCGCACGTCCCTTTCATCTCACCCTTCTTCGCCTCAGCCATGGGCGCCTAGCCTCACTTTGGGCCGCCCAGCTACCGCCTCACACCAGGGGTCAGCGCCGATTTTGCCTGTTTCGTACCAGTTTGCGCCTCTCACCGCTCTCCACCCCTGCCCACTCCTCTCCACCCCTCGCAGGTCCTTCTTCGCCTCGGCCATGGGCTCCTGGGTTCTCTTCAGTCCACCCAGCTGCTGCCTGGCAGGGCAAAGGCACAGGCGCTCCTGCTGGTTCCGAACCACTTATCACCTCTCACCACTCTCCACCCCTGTTCACCACTCTCCACCCCTCTCAGGTCCTTCTTTGCCTCGGCCATGGGTTCCTGGGCTCTCTTCGGCCCGCCCAGCTACTGCCTCACTGCGGGGGCTACGGGCACACTCGTCTACTCGCTGTTTTCCGGGCTGCCCGTGCTGCTCGTGGCGTGGCTGGGCAGCGTGGTGCACCGTTTGGTGCCCGACGTGGTGTCCATGGCAGACTATGTGCGCCGGCGATTCGGCCTGTGAGTGGGGAGAGGGTTGGACGTGTGAGGGACGGCGTTGGAACTCAAAGGGGTGTCTATTGCAGCGCGGTGCACTGTTTAGTGGCGTCGACTCAAAAGCCCTCTGCATCATATCACAGCGCACATCACTCTTGAGTCGACTCAAAAGCCCTCTGCATCATATCACAGCGCACATCACTCTTGAGTCGACTCAAAAGCCCTCTGCATCATATCACAGCGCACGTAACTCTTGAGTCGGCTCAAAAGCCCTCTGCATCATATCACAGCGCACATCACTCCACCTCCACTCCCTCCTCAGCCCCTTGTCTCTCTTTATTTCTCTCCTTATAAGTCTCAACATGGCCGCACCTCACCCATGACAGGCAAGCACCCGAGAGTTTTCGGTGTCTTGCTTCGGGGGAACCCCAATCTCCCCATCCCCCCCCCCCTCCCCCCTTTCAGCCTGTTTTCGCTCTACATCTCGCTGCTCATGGTGCTCAACATGGCCATCGCCATGACAGCCGAGTACACCGCTGTGGGCGACCTCTTTCAGCACGTGCTGGGCGCGCCCAGAGTGCCCATTGTACTCCTTCTAGGCGCCACCGCCATGCTCTATACCGCAGCAGGGGGGCTGTATGTCTCGATTGTCACCGACCAGTGGCAGGTGCAGTACTGTCGCAGGCCGGTGGCAGGTGTGTCTTGTGTGAGGGAACGAGACAGGAAGCAGCCATTGTGCTCCTTATGGGAGGGCCATACGCGCGACCAGGGGGCTGGTCTAGGGGGAAGGGCTACAGGCGTCGGGTATAGGGGGTTGTGGGCGCGCTGACCTGCTGAGGAGCCATGCCCTTTTAGCACAGTGGTTAGCGGCTGTGCTCTCCAGCGGTTCGCCCACGGTGATTGTACTCGTTATACGCGTTGCCACAGTGCTCTATACTGCAGCAGGCAGGCCAATGTCTCAGGCCAATGGCAGGCGAGCTATTTTCTCTCTAAAACATCCCCTACCCCCTCCCCCCCCCACCCCACCCTCCCCCATTCACTGCCTCCCGCCAGGCCCTAGCCAGTATTATCTTCACGGCGCTCCTCACAACTCTCGTGCTCGCCACCTTTCCATCGCCCCTCCCTCCGCTGTCGCCCAACCTGGGCTGGTCCAATCCCCTCGGCCTCGCATCGCTTGTCTTCATGCCGGTCTCTCTTTTGGCAACCACTCTATTCAATGAAGCCATGTGGCAACGGTGAGGCTGGGCGGTGGGATGGGAGGTGGTATGGCCGTTGTATGAGGGGTGGTGCGATAGTCGTGGGATGAAGTGCATGGAGGACATGTGCTTTTGGTCGCCTGTTGTCCTGCTGAGGTCATGCTGAGGTCATGCTGAGGTCATACTGAGGTCATGCTGAGGTCATGCTGAGATCATGCTGAGGACATGCTGAGGTCCCTGCTGGCCACGACCCTTTTCAATGAAGCCGTGTGGCAACGGTGAGAGGAGAGGTAGGAGTATGGCCCTTGTATGAGGGGAGGTGGTATGGCCGTTGTTTGAGGGGAGGTGCAGTAGCGATGGGGTATTGAGCAAAGCAGTGTACGATTGAACACTGGTCTTCATGCCGGTGTCCATGCTGACTACCAATCTAGCTAAAAGCGCTTATAACAACCAATCCTGGTATGCTGACTGTAAACTTATAACTGAATCCAGGTCTCCCTCTCGTTTAAACGCTGTGAAGTATCGGTGGCACACGCTGTTGAACGCGTGGCAGTGGTGTGAGAGTTCCAATGTGCATGGAAGGGTGCTAGGAGGGGTGACTTTTGAGTTGACTCAAAAGCCAATGTGCATGGAAGGGTGCTAGGAGGGTTGACTTTTGAGTCGACTCAAAAGCCAATGTGCATGGAAGGGTGCTAGGAGGGGTGACTTTTGAGTCGACTCAAAAGCCAATGTGCATGTTAGGGTGCTAGGAGGGGTGACTTTTGAGTCGACTCAAAAGCCAATGTGCATGTGAGGGTGCTAGGAGGGGTGACTTTTGAGTCGACTCAAAAGCCAATGTGCATGGAAGGGTGCTAGGAGGGGTGACTTTTGAGTCGACTCAAAAGCCAATGTGCATGTGAGGGTGCTAGGAGGGGTGACTTTTGAGTCGACTCAAAAGCCAATGTGCATGTGAGGGTGCTCGGAGGGGTGACTTTTGAGTCGACTCAAAAGCCAATGTGCATGTGAGGGTGCTAGGAGGGGTGACTTTTGAGTCGACTCAAAAGCCAATGTGCATGTGAGGGTGCTAGGAGGGGTGACTTTTGAGTCGACTCAAAAGCCAATGTGCATGGAAGGGTGCTAGGAGGGGTGACTTCTGAGTCGACTCAAAAGCCAATGTGCATGTGAGGGTGCTAGGAGGGGTGACTTTTGAGTCGACTCAAAAGCCAATGTGCATGTGAGGGTGCTAGGAGGGGTGACTTTTGAGTCGACTCAAAAGCCAATGTGCATGTGAGGGTGCTAGGAGGGGTGACTTTTGAGTCGACTCAAAAGCCAATGTGCATGTGAGGGTGCTAGGAGGGGTGACTTTTGAGTCGACTCAAAAGCCAATGTGCATGGAAGGGTGCTAGGAGGGGTGACTTTTGAGTCGACTCAAAAGCCAATGTGCATGTGAGGGTGCTAGGAGGGGTGACTTTTGAGTCGACTCAAAAGCCAATTTGCATGTGAGGGTGCTCGGAGGGGTGACTTTTGAGTCGACTCAAAAGCCAATGTGCATGTGAGGGTGCTAGGAGGGGTGACTTTTGAGTCGACTCAAAAGCCAATGTGCATGTGAGGGTGCTAGGAGGGGTGACTTTTGAGTCGACTCAAAAGCCAATGTGCATGGAAGGGTGCTAGGAGGGGTGACTTCTGAGTCGACTCAAAAGCCAATGTGCATGTGAGGGTGCTAGGAGGGGTGACTTTTGAGTCGACTCAAAAGCCAATGTGCATGTGAGGGTGCTAGGAGGGGTGACTTTTGAGTCGACTCAAAAGCCAATGTGCATGTGAGGGTGCTAGGAGGGGTGACTTTTGAGTCGACTCAAAAGCCAATGTGCATGGAAGGGTGCTACCGTGCTAGGAGGGGTGACTTCTGAGTCGACTCAAAAGCCAATGTGCATGTGAGGGTGCTAGGAGGGGTGACTTTTGAGTCGACTCAAAAGCCAATGTGCATGGAAGGGTGCTAGGAGGGGTGACTTCTGAGTCGACTCAAAAGCCAATGTGCATGTGAGGGTGCTAGGAGGGGTGACTTTTGAGTCGACTCAAAAGCCAATGTGCATGTGAGGGTGCTAGGAGGGGTGACTTTTGAGTCGACTCAAAAGCCAATGTGCATGTGAGGGTGCTAGGAGGGGTGACTTTTGAGTCGACTCAAAAGCCAATGTGCATGTGAGGGTGCTAGGAGGGGGCGCTCATGCGTGTTGCTGCTGATACTCAGAAAGAAGGAGAACAGCTGGTGGACATTCTTGTTGCTGCTGGTGGACATTCTTGTTGCTACTGGTGGACATTCTTGTTGCTGCTGGTGGACATTCTTGTTGGTCCAGTGGTCCAGTTGTCTTGGTCCAGTGGTCCGGTTGTCTTGGTCCAGTGGTCCGGTTGTCTTGGTCCAGTGGTCCGGTTGTCTTGGTCCAGTGGTCGTGTTGTCTTGGTCCAGTGGTCCGGTTGTTGCTGCTGGTGGAATTCTTGTTGCTGCTAGAATTGACCGTTATAAGTTTACTGTCACCTGATTATTTTGTCTCTCTGTTTTTCTGTTTCTTCCTTTTTTCCGACTCCCATTTCCTCTCCTCCTTCCTCTCCTCCTTCCTCTCCTCCTTCCTCTCCTCCTTCCTCTCCTCCTTCCTCTCCTCCTTCCTCTCCTCCTTTTTCTCCTCCTTCCTCTTCTCCCCGACTCTCACTTCCCTTCCCCTCAGCTGCTGGGCCTCAGCAAGCCCCTCGTCGTTGCTGTGGGGTGCGGCATTGGGGTCAGCAGCTATCACTGCTGTGGTATCATTGCTCGGATTTGCAGGTGAGCTGGGTGCTGCTGATGGTGCCGCTGTGTTGGTGTGTTGCTGTGCGCACTGGTGAGGGGTAGGAGAAGGCGTGGGGTCAGCAGCCGTCACTGCTGGTGTGTTGCTGCTGGGATTTGCAGGTGAGCTAGTGTGTGTTCATTGGGAGGGAGTGCGCCATGTGCTGTTGCTCACGCTGCCGCTGCCGCTGCTGCTGCTGCTTCTGCTGCCAGTGCTTCTGCCAGTGCTGCTGCCAGTGCTGCTGCCAGTGCTGCTGCTGGTGCTGCTGCTGGTGCTGCTGCTGGTGCTGCTGCTGGTGCTGGTGGTGGAGCTGCCGCTGCTGCCGCCGCTGCCTTTGCACACTGGCAGTGCCTTTCTGCTTTCTCCTCCTTCTCTGGTCTATCCTCATCACAAGTCTTATAGCAGCAGCTAGCATTCCTCAGGCTGTGGCGACTGTGGCAGCGCCATTCTCGTCTCGCGCTCCCTCTCATGGCGTCCACCTTCCGTGTTCTCCCCCGCCCGCAGGCCTCCTAGCAGCATGGAGCGGCGTCTATCAACCATCCGGCCCGGACGACAGCGGCAACACCATCCTCTTCTCGCTCTTCCGCCACCAAAAGTGGGCGCTCGTTACAGTCACGCTGCTCTCAGTCACGATGAGCGAGTCTGCGGTGGACTCCCTGCAGAACGCCATGGTGGACACCATCGCCTCCGACATAGCGGGCGTCCTCGCAGCGCTCAGGTGCAGAGAGAGGAGGAGTCGCTTGCGAGGCAAGGGTGGGGGGGGTGGCGCTGTACCGTCTGTGCAGCCCAAGGGGGTGCGCTGTGCTGACTCTGCTCTCTCGCAGTCAGAGGTACCAGGGAGCCTGAAAGCAGGGAGTGAATCAGCAGAGCCCTCACCTCCTGTTGCTGTCACCACCATCCCACCATCACCAGTCTCTGCTATTCCAGAACCTGACTCCACCCCTCCCCACCACCCGTCTGGCCTCAGCATCTCGTCCATTCGAGCCCTCGTTCTCATCCTCAATGTACCGCCGCTGCTCGCCTCGCTACAAGGCTTCAACGTCCTACAGCTCTTCCTCCTTATAAACCTCATCAATACCACATCCTTTCTCCCACTGCTCCTCGGCATTCTACAGGGTCCCCTCTCCCATGTCTGTGTCACCCCCTCATCGTCTGTAGCTGGGTGTTGCTCCGGCCTGCTCTCGCTTGTTGTGTGGGCTAAGACGCAGCAGATTCCTGGGGAAAGCTATGTTGATGCACTGTCCAGGACGTTTCTAGACGCTTATGATTATCCACCCTTTTTGCTTGCTTTAGGGTTCTCTGCCGTTGGGATGACTGTCGGTGCTGGTGTAGAAGCGGTGGTTAGGTACTGCTGGAGAATAGAATACTCTCCTTATGTCCTGGATTACGGCAAAGGGAGAGACTTAGAAGAATCTAGGAACTTGTTAGGCTAGAAAAACGCTGGTGGGGAAAGAGGAATTCTCTCCCAGCCAGCTATTTTCTTTCTGAGAAATACGACCAGCCAATTCAGCCAAACATTGGCCAAACGCACTTGTTGATACGTAGAGCAAAGTTAGAAGGAATAAAGCATGATTGTTAGGGTGTGTGAGTTATTACAAATTTGTAGAAAGTTCGTATCGTCACCACTCAGTACCGCGGTTCTGATCGCCTGCAACCTACCAAAATTGTCCTTTACCGCTCTAGAAGTTCGTACTGGAGGCTTGTTCGTACCCCAAGTCATACGCCCTTGAATTATGAATGCACGATTGCGTGCAGGCCACGGAACACCCAGCACCTCGATATTGCCGTGCTGCCGTGTTGGTTTGGCCCACCCCGCGCACAGCCATTTCCGCGCTTCTCTCCCCAACTTCTCCCCTCCCCGACCCACTCCCCCATTCTCCTCCCCCGCTCTTCCCCGCCAACTTCTCGTGCCTTTCGCGGCACCCGCTGCGGTCCTCGCAATGCGCTCCGCTGTCCCTGTTTCGCCAATCACTGCTGTTGCTTCCCCAGCGAAGAGCCCTATTGCTGACGCCATCGTGATGTCAGCAAGATGCCAGCAGCCCCAGCTCCCGTTCTCAGCCAGGGCTTGCCAGGGAATTCGTCTAGGTGCCGTTGCTGAGACTTCCTGTTTGTATTTAGCCTGTACGTAGTAGTCTTCCTACGGAACTATAGATATTGCTGAACTCCCGAATAATCTGACGTAATTACATTAGGCAATCAGCAGATTACCATATTAACACACTTTTCCGCTCACAGGGTTCTTGCTTTCTCACTTGTCTCGAGGCGCGCAGTAGCCGCTTGTTTGAAGCCTTAGCCCCGTATCCGCTTTTCACGTCAAGATGGGTTTCGTCCCAGAAGGTAGGCGCATTGCTGGTAGAAGATCTCCGCGCGACGCGTTAGCCGTGCGAATCATGAACTCGGTGACGATAACGGTTTCTATCTGCTTGTTTCCGCAGGCCCGTCTGACTCCACGCCGCTCAAGCCGGGGACAGAATCGTCGTCCGACGCTCGCACGCACAGCAGCAACGCAGATGCAGCAGCGAGCAGCAACCCTCCGGCTGCCGGCCAATCGACGTATCAGCCAGGCCAGCACCATTCGAGCTACCCCCACCACGCCCACGGGCCCTATCCTCCCCAGTTTCCGCCTCCCCCGGGCTGCCCTACCCCTGTGATCGTCGTGTCGCATGGCGCGAGCGGAGGCGAATTCCCCGTATTCTCCCCCGTCCCCATCCCCGGGCTCTACATGCTTCCGCCAAGAGTTCCCCCCTCAGCGGATCAAGTCATTCTCGGCTACGAGACCTGCCGGCCTCCCGTGAGTGTTTAGTTGACCTGCTGACCTGTCATACACCTGTTACGAGACCTGCCCTCCTCCCGTACGCTAGTACATGTCGAGAAGTTAGCCACAGTGTTCGCAGTGAGGAGTCTGTGTGGGTTGAGGGACGCGTGGCCTCGTTGGCATCACGACGGTTCATTCCCAACACCTTTCTCCTCTCCCCATCCACTCCCTCCCCTCGCCACCGTATGCGCTCTGGCTTTTTTCCTCTTTTTTTTTTTTTTTTTTTTTTTTTTCTTCTTCTTCTTCTTCTTCTTCTCTCTCTCTCCCCATTCCTCCCGGTTGTCTATATCATCTTGCTCTGGCACCCCCCTCCCTTACTCCTGTTATTCTTCTGTCGTTCCAGACGGGTTGCTTCGAGACGCAGACGCTGAGTCCGCTGGGGTGGCTGGCAGTGGTGATCGCCTTGGTCACATGCTGGCCGTTCGCCTGCGTGCCGTGCTTCATTCCGCAGTTCCACGAGGTACGGCTCTCTCTTTAATTGCCTTTTCTAGTCACGCATCACACCTGTGCATCTCTCTTTTGTCACACATCACACCTGATCCCTCTCACATGTCTGCTTCATACCCTCGTCTCACGAGGTATGGCTCTTCATTTGCTCTTCTTTCACCCCCTCAGCTCTGCTCCTCTCTGCACTCGCATCGTCGTCCCGTTCATTGCTTAAGCGTACCTTCTGTGCTTACTTCCCATTTCCATGGGATACTGCTCTCGTCGCTTCTTGTCACATTCCATACAGGCACGCACGGACACAAACTCAGACAGGCGGGCACCCATATGCACACCGACTCACACACACGCATGTAAACTTACCCAACTTTCCACACCTCTTGTTCCCCAACCCTACATATCTCCGCCCTCCCTGCCTGAACTGCAGAGGTGCCAGCGCCCCGTGTTCGGCTATCCGCCACCAGCGCCAGCGCCAGGCTTCCCCATGCCTCCGTCTTAGCGACCATTTGGCACGTGCAGATTGGCTGCATGCTGCAGGTTGCCCCCCCCCCTCTTTGCACCAGCTGCAAGCTTCATGCAGCAAATGAGGCAGCATGCGCCAGCTGGTTGTGCTGCTGTAAGGGTACGGTAGTAGAATAGAACAGAGACTGACTAGAATGGATTGTTTTGGTTCTGTAAAGCAATGTTGTAGAGGTAGGATGCAAATCTAGATTAGTGTACAAGCAGTTTGATAAAAACAAACCTATGGGTGGAACATGGCAAAACATAGACTATCTGTAAGGAGTCTAACATTGGCTATCAGTGGCTGCTGTTGCTCAGCTAATGCATGTCCTCTTGTTCGACCATCTCGTCTGCATGCACCGGAATAGACCCACGCACCAGCCCCGTTCTGGAGGTTGCTTCAGGCTCTGAATTGGCAGGGCTGCACATATGAATGGCAACGATCCAACCCAGATAACACAGCATGCTGCGATGCGAAATGCAAGGCGTGGCACGTGTGGTACCATGATGCCATGATGTCACCCCTTGTGACATTGCTGCAAAGAAAAGACTTGATAAGGTCAGCAGTGCAGTTGAGTTGGTGGAAGTAGGAAGCACAACCCAGCCCACGCCCACACAGAATCAACAATGGGTAAGTTCTGTAGCTGACTTTGCATCGCAGCCCTGGCCGGGTGGTGATCAGGTGGCAGGCAGTGCATGGCTGCAGTGGGACGAGTCGCCTCCACTGAAACTCCCACCCTTGCACTGCACTGTACTCAGATGCGAGAGGGTGTTGTTAGAATACGTGAATAATTTACTAGAGGGGAAATAGGGAACATATAGCAGCTGGGTTGTACTCACTAAGAGCACACACCGATACTAGCCTATAACTTCTACATGCATGATATGTATAAGTTGACACACCCCCTAGGCTAGAGAAGGGGTGGTGCAAGCAAGAAGCACACAGCTCAGGGTGGCAATACTAGTCCAACCACTGAGGCAAGGGTCCAAAGACCACTCAGCAAGAGTACAGACAAGACAAAAGCAAGCCAGGGCGGCACTACTAGTCCAACCACTGGAGGTAAGGCCACAAGGCCAGTCAGACAAGTATATATAGTAGAGAGTACACAATCAGGGTCCTAACAAGTGGGTAGCTACAGGAACAAGACCAAGCTGTACACAGTGCCGCTGATGATCTTTAGGCGCAAGCTGTCAACTTATACATGTTAGCTGTGTACAAGCTATAGGCTAGATTGGGGTATGCTTCTTGTTGGGCTGAGAAAAACCCTTTAGGATCTTTTGCAGAGATTAAGTCCCAGCTGTAAAGACTTGAGACTTGGAGTAGTGCAGCGGAAGTTGAGGCAGTTGAACCCTTGTACTAGTATGTGAGAACAAGTGATTGATTAAAGAAACAAGCATACAGCAATATATAGAAGATAAGGAAGCAGTTGTAGAATACAGTTACAGGAACGGTTTATCGAGTCGCACAGCGACTCGATTGCCGCTTCGGTTACCATCCGTGATGTTGTAACGGTCAGTCGCAACCTCCAGTTGCGACCTTTCGAGTCCTTTCGCATTCTTTGTCCGCCCCCTCGTGTAACCTCCGTTGACTCGCGTGCTCCCCTGTAATCTTCCTCGAGTACAGTGTTACACTTCAGAAACGCTTAAGTCCTTGAGATATTTCCAACACTCCCCTTCGTTTCTGGAGTGCTGGAGTGTTCAGATCCGGTGACGTTTGTTTGCCCGGTTAGGAGCATGCAGTAGTCGAATTTTGCTTTCGCCAATTTCTTCGTCAGATAATCTGCGGCCATTTCTGTCGTCGGGCAGTAACTGAGTTGAAGTCTCCCCTTCGCGATTTCATCCTTGACGAAGAAGTACCGCAGGGCGATGTGCTTGGTTCGGTTGGCGAAGCCGTCCTTGTTCGCGATTTTTATCGCAGATTGGTTGTCGCAGAGGAGTGAGAAGGTGGGCAGGGTCGCGATCTTCGCTTCTTCGAGTAACTCTCGTAGGTAGAGTCCTTCCTTGGTCGCAGTACAAAGGGCGATATACTCTGCTTCAGCCGAGGATAGTGCGATTAACTCCTGCTTGCTCGACTGCCAGGAGATAGTTCCGATAGGTTCTAGTCGGTAGATGTAGCCCGTCCTAGACCGTCGATTTTCGCTGTCTCCCGCGTGGTCGGCGTCGACGTATCCGAGTAGTCGTACGGACGGTGTTGTTGCCTTGCTGTAGGTGAGCCCGATCGTCGGCGTGGAGACGAAGTAGAGTAGCGCTCGATTGAGTTCTTCGAGATCTTCCTGTTGCGGCTGCTTCAGATGTGTCGCCAGCTGGCTCGCACTATAGGATAGGTCGGGTCGGCAGGTTACTGTTGCGAATAGTAGACAGCCGAGCTTCTGTTGATACTCCTGGATTTGTTTCGCGGGGAGTTTTGTGGAGGCGCTACTGTTGTTCCCGTAGCGGTAGGGAGTTGGGACCGCAGTCGGTGTTAGACCGAATTTCTTCGCGACGGTGCTTGAGTACTTTCCAGCGTGTAGGTAGAACGCCGTGTCGTCTTCGACGACGTTCAGTCCTAGGTACTGCGTCACCTCGTCGGACACCGTGAGCGTCAGGTCCCTTTTCAGCTCCCCTTCGAACCAGGTGACGATGTCGGTGGTAGAACCGATGTAGAGCAGGTCGTCGACGTAGACGATGAGCAGAATGTAATCTCTTCCCTTCTGTAGTCGGTACATGCCTTGGTCATGTGGTAGCTGTAGGAATCCGATTTTTACGAGCCGGCCGTGAAGGTGCTGCTGCCAGAGCCGTGGGGCTTGCTTGATCCCGTAAAGGGATTTTTCCAGCTGGCATACTTTTGAAGGGTCGTCGATGAATCCGTGGGGTTGTTCGACGAAGATTTCGGCGTCCACAGGTGCGTACAAGAAGGCGTTTGCAACGTCGATTTGCCGTAGTGGTAGTTTCTTCGTGGCCGCGATGGCGAGTAGGATGCGCAGAGAGGTGTGACGGGAGACTGGAGCGAAGGTTTCTGTGTAGTCGGTTCCGTATCGTTGATCGAAGCCTCGTACGACCCATCGAGCTTTGAATCGTTCGATGGAGCCGTCTGAGTTGGTCTTGATGCGGTACACCCATTTCCCCGAGAGAATGTTCTTCCCGTTGATGCTCGTTGCAGGTACCAGTTTCCATGTTTCTCGGTCTTGCAGAGCTTTTAACTCTTTTTCCATCGCTTCCTTCCATTGTGCCTTATGTTCCCCCCCCAGAGCCTGCGACAGGGTCGACGGCTCGCGCGGAGAAGGCGGCGGCGGGTGCTGGACGGAGACCCATAGTCCTAGGATCTGCAGTCCCGTGGCTGTGTGTCGAGGGGAGTTTTCATTCTCGGGATAAGCTGCTTCATCACCGTCTTCAGGATCGGGTAAGAAGTTTGGCCCGATGCGTTCGGAAATATTCGAGTCGACGGGGTGTGGTGTAGCGTAGCCTTGGTCAGCGAAGTGGTAAAAGGTGTCGAGGTTGTTGCTATCGAGAGGATTATCTTCATCGAGTGGAACAGGTACGGAGCAGTAGGGGAGTGGTCCGGCAGCCTCCGAGGCTCCAGGGACGTCTTCTTCTGCTGCGTCAGCCTCGGCAGCATGGTCAGCGAAGGAGCGAAGGCCCGCGAAGCCGTCGGTGGGGTCGTCTGAGTTGGCAATGTTGTCCAGGTAATGCTGCAGCGTCAGTCGCTCGTAGAAGATAACATCACGTGATGCCACCGTATTTTTGTCGTGTATGTCGAGAATCTTCCACGCGTGAAAATGTTTGGCGATGCCGAGGTGTAGTCCCCACCGAGCTCGTTGAGTGAAGCGTCCTGCTCGAGCTGTGTGGGGTCTGTATTGTACCATGCAGCCGAAAACTCGAAGTAATTTTGTGCTGCCCCTTTTTCCCGTCCACAGCAGGTGCGGTGATGCGTTGTTGGGGAGCGATGACGAGGACAACAGGTTGTGCAGGTGGACTGCATGTGTCATCGCGTCTGGCCACAGTGTATTGGGCAGCCTCATCCCCAGAAGCAGTTTTCGCATCGTCGTCTGCAAGGTCCGGTTCATGCGTTCTGCTACCCCCTGCTGCTGGTGAGCATAGGGCAGAGACACCAGGCGTCGGATTCCCCTTTCCGCGAGATAGGTCCTGAAGCGTTGTGACTGGTATTCCAGTGCACCGTCTGACTGGAAACTCTTGAGTTTGGTTCCTGACTCTCGTTCGGCGATTGGAAGCCATGTGGTGAAGGCCTCGAAGGCTTGATCGCGCGTTTTGAGATTGAAGTGCCAGACGTATCTGGTTGCGGCGTCGATGAACGTGATGACGTAGTTGAAGTCGGCTTCGGTGTCGTCTCGAGGCATGTTTAGAATATCGCTGTAGACCTTTTCCATCGGAGCGTAAGTGGGTGCGCTTGGATTGTGATGGGCTGGGAAAGGTTGATGAGGAAGATCTGCTTCGGGGCACGTGAAGCATCGTGCTCTTGGTCGGCGAAGTTCTTGGCCGCTCGTCGTTAGAAGGGCGTTACGTTCTAACACCTCTGCTTGTATTGTTTGTAGTATCGTGCTGTTTGCAGGATGTCCGAGACGTTGGTGCCAGATGTCGTCGGGAGCGCGGTGACCGGGCGAGCGGTGGTAGATGTCGGCGTTGGAGAAGAACGCGACGACCGAGGCGGGACTTCGACAAGCTTCTCGTGTGGCGGGCATAAGTTGGTCTGCTTCCGTTGGCGGTCCTCGTGTTGATGGTGGTGGTACTCGGCTGGGTCCTGCTGCCGATACTGCAGGTGATGGTTTTGTTGGGACGCTTGCTGGTACTTGTCTTTCTTGTCTGATAACTGCTAATGCCCGTGTTCTCTCTGCTGCAGGTATGGTGTTGGAGTGCCAGAAGCCGTCACTGTCGAAGTCGGGATCAAGATCTGGTGGGTGAGTCCAGGCGGCGAACGATACGATGCCATCGCTGTCGGCAGTTCCGCGGTCGGGGACGAAGTCCAACACGAAGACACCGGACTTCAGGAGGGCACGACCGATGAAGAGACCGCCCTTCCCGTGGTAAAGTCGGAACTCGTTGGAGAAGGAGTCGCACTCCAGGTGAATCCCCTTAGCCATTAGTTGGCTTACGCTTAGTAGGTTGTATCCCAGATTGTCGACGATGAGGACTTTGTTGAGCTGAAGAATAACGTTTGTCTCCATTGATTGTAACTGAACCACGCCTTGCCTGTTTGTTTTCAGGTTTTCGTTGTTGGCGACGGTGATGACGACGTCGCGGTTGAGGCGTCGCTCGTGTTGTACGAAGCGTCCGGAGGAGCACATGTGCTGACCGCAGCAACTGTCCAAGAACCAGGTGTTCCGCCCGGTGGGTTC